TGTATTGTTTTTGTGTAGCCCTGTGCGCAGCAGGGAATATGCTGACACCCCCGCCGTCCTTGACAAAACCAATACAAAGTGCTCGCGGGCCTCACGAACGTGACCCAAGACTTTGCCCCAAAGGTTCACATGGTTTTTTACAGGGATGGTGGGGAAACGCATCGGGTTGGCCGCGCATGCTCCAAATGTGGAGGCTGAGTGCGGCTTCTATTTGTTTGACAGGGATGGTATGGGGCGGGCCCTCATGGAGTCGGCATGGTTTCGTGTTGGCCGCCGGCCTGGTGGGCGAGGGGGTGTGTATTAATAAGGAACTGTCACAGACCCATTGACAGACCCATCCCCGAAGGGGAAAAAGGAGGTTGGAAGAGGAAGCTCCCTAGACCACCGACGCCCAGAGGGGCTGGTGGGATTGGGGGCGCGGGGGGTGCTCACCAGCATCCATGCATGACGTGCGTGCCGCCGCAAGGTTATGAACTTTCCAGCCGCTCCGGGGCAGGCGTCCCCGACAGCGGAACAGTTTATCAGGGCTGGACCTAAACGGTGTTTTTGGTGATTTCGGGGGCCGTTTTCGTTTCGACTTCGTTTTGCGGTAAAGGCGAATTCGAGCCAAAAGCGAGGGGAAACGAACACAACACGAAGACGAAAAACACCGTTTGGGTTCGGCCCTGCAGTTTATGATGTACAGTTGTTCGTTCCCCGACCCCAAGACCTCCGTCCCTTCACGCCAGCGTTCGGTGGCGCCTCTCTCAGGGCTCGTTTCGATTCCTCCGATTCGATTCGATTCGATTTCGATGGTTTCCGATTCCGATTCGATTCGATCCTGGGCTCTCCTGCTCTCTTGCCTTCTCGGCTCGAGAGGCGTTCCGCCTGTGGCTCTAGGAGTCGCCGGGGCAGGCCGTGCCGCCCCGCCGCACGGAGCTGCCCCGGGCGCCAGAGGCCCAGGTGCTCGCCCCCACGGCGGCCTCGCCCTCCTCGTCCTCCTCGTCCTCCTCCTCCGCCTCCTCCTCCTCCTCCTCTTCCTCTTCCTCCTCCTCCTCCTCGTCCTCCTCGTCCTCGTCCTCCTCCTCCTCCTCCTCCTAGTCTTCCTCGTCCTACTCCTCCTGCTCCTCCTCCTCCTCCTCCTCGTCCTCGTCCTCCTCCTCCTCCTCTCCTCGTCTTCCTCGTCGTCGTCCTCCTCCTCAATCCCTTTTCTTACACATATTGTTCTCTGTCGCAGCCCTAGGCAGGTCGAAAGGGCGGGCAGGGCGTTTCGTCTGAGACTTCCTCATCACTCATGACCCTGAAGCTTAAACATGGGCAACAGTTTCACTGATTGAGGGTGGGTCGTTTTCAACATGTGGTTCTCAGCTCAGCGCCGCGCACATTCGTTTTAAACAATTGCGAGAGCTTCACATAGTGAGGGCGTTTTTTTAATGCGGTTCTCGCCTTAGCGCCGCGCACATTCGTTGTACACATTTGCGAGAGCTTCACGGATTAAGGGCGGTGCCTCATATCACGCCCTCTAAGTGCCGAGAGCCGTGCAGCCGTGTTGTTATCAGCAACGCGCGGAGTTGGGCCTCAAGGCAACGGAAACCCCAGGTGGCCGTCCGAGGAAGCGGTCGACCCTGAGGCTTCCCGTGGGAAACGCATTCGGGGCCGCCATGGGACCTCACTGGCTCGCGGAGCCCTGTTCGGGGCACCCTGAGACCCGCGCGGCGCATCACAGAGAGGCCGAGGGGAGTGCGATGCCACCCCCGCGGCGCGGAACGGAAGGCCTCCCATCGACTTTCCGCTCCAAGAGGGTCCGTAAACTTCCCAAGTCGTCGGTCTTCCCTCTCCAGGCGGCTCCAAGATGGTCTCCAAGACGGCCAAGATGGCCCAAGATAGTCCCAATATGTTTCCAAGACGGGCCGAGACGCCCCGAAGACGGCCTACGAAGGCCTCACTATCGCCAAACCACTGCCAAAGAGGCCTTCCAGACGGTCCAAGAGGCCTCCAAGAGGACCTCCATGACGGCTCGAAGAGGCCAGCGATATTGTTTGACCGGAGGTTTTCGGATGATCTTGGCGATTGCTCGTTATCGTCTCTCCGACGGCCCACGACGGCCCTGGAGACAACCAAGATGGCCCCAGACGCGAGCCCAAGAGGCCCCCCATGACGGCCCAAGAGGCCCCCAGAGAGGCCCCAGGAGGGCCCCGATGCGGCCCAAGATGCCTCCAAGATGGCCTCCAAGACGGCCCTGAGGCGCCCCGAGAGGACCCCAAGCCAGCACCGAGAAGCCACCAAGACGGCTTCCGACGGCGTCAGACGGGCCAGGAACACCTTCAGACGGCCCAGGAGCCTCCCAAGGAACCTCCAAGAGGCCCCCAAGAGGCCCAAGGGCGCTCCCAGGAGGTCCCATAGGTGCGCACAGGAAGCTCACAGGAGGCCCCAAGGGTGCCCCAAGAAGCCTCCTCCTCCTCCTCCTCCTCCTCCTCCTTCTCATGTTTCATCCCTCTCCTCCTGTTATCCCCCGCGGGTTCCCCGAATGGTTTCCACAACGGCTGGGGGAACACGTAGTCCGATAGATTGGCCGAGCTCTGGCCGCAACATTCGGACACACAGGTGCTTCATCCGCCGCCCCCAAGTTGCTTGCAGCGCAGAAGGTAGGAGGTAAAGTCCCAAACGCCTCCAATGCGGCCAAGATGGTCCAACATTGCCTCCAAGATGTTTAAATCAGAGAGGCCCAGATGGCCGCACGATTTCTCCAAGACGACTCCACATGCCGCCAAGATGGTACACGACGGCCCAGTAGGCCTCCAAGAGGGCCCGAGAGGCCCCCAAGAGGAACACCTCAATGAGGTACTCAAGAGACCACATTCTGACACTTAGGTTTTTAAACTGATTGTTAGCGTTTGGCCTTTTCAAGCTTCGACGCTCAAAAGACGGTCCCATTGTCGCCGATATCACCCGAGAAGCCCCAAAGAGGCCGCAAGACGGCTCAAGAGGGACCAGGCCCCTCAAAGGCTCATCGACCTCCCAAGACGACCCTACACCCCCAAATGGGGAGCACGGACTGCCAGAGAGGGCCACAAGCCGGCCCTCCCCAAGGCTAAAAGAGTCCCTAGAGAACCTCCAAAGGCTTCAAGGGACCAGCAAAACGCCCAAGGAGGCTTCCAAGGAGCCCCAGGAGTCCTTCAGAGGCCATTCAGATGCATCCCCCCCGAGAGTCTCCCAGGAAGCCCAAGAGGCCCAAAGAGGGCCTCAAGAGGCCTCCTCTTCTTCCTCCTCCTCCTCCTCCGTCTCCTCCTTTTCCTCCTCCATCATCTGCATCTCCCAAGTGTTCCACCAAGGGGCTCACAACGGCTGGGGGGACACATAGTCAAATAGCTGTGCCAGGCTTCGGCCCAACGTTTGGCCACGTGGCGTTTCCAAGAAGGCAGGGGCGGCGGTGATTCGCCGTAGCGTCTGCGATATAGCTCGCGCTTATTGTGCTGTATGTTCGTGTCCACGCGTCCTGCTGTCATGTGTTCCCTCACTGCCAGGACGCCTTGGATGATATATTACTATAGATAGAGATATATATATATATATATATAAATAGATATATATATGCATAAATGTGTATATATATGTATGCATATATATATATATATATATATATATAGATGCGCACCAAGTCTCACCACTACCGAATATCCGACGCAACAACAGAAACTAAATGGAAACAGTGAACGTAACAGCCAAGAGGCCCTTAAGAGAGCCCAAAACCGCCCCAGAGGGCCCCAAGACGACCCCAGAGGCCTCCAAGACAGCCCAAGAGGCCCCCAAGACGGCTCCAAGAGGGGGGCCAGACGGAAGACCCGCACGCATATTTTGAGCCCTCGGCCCCGAGAGGCCCCCAGGAGCGCCCAAGAGGCCCCCGAAAGGATCCCAAGAGGCCCCTAGAGGCCCCCAACTGGCCCCAAGATGCCCCCACCAGGCCCTCAGGAGGCCCCCCAAGAGGCCCCCAAGCGGCCCCAGGAGGCCCCCCAAATGCCCCCCAAAGCACGCAAGCTAGTGCCAGCGATGCTACAATATGGGCCGGCGGAATGAACGAAGCGATTGAATTAAAATAGGGGGAACGATAAAACACGTAGTTTCTTTGAGTTCTACATTTTCTTTCGACGAGAGGAGGACGATTGAAGAATGTCTATAACACGTCGGCTTCGAATCTGGCCCAGGACGCGCTCCAGGATTTCCAGAGTATCTGGCTGCGCAGCCCGTGCGGGCCATCAGGATCGATGGGAATTCCTGGAAACCTTTGAAATACTGGAACGTGGTTGCCGCGTTACCACTTTGTCTTGGTGGCGACCCACCACCCCCATCCTGGTAGGAGATGGCGAATCCATGGCGACTCCTCCGCCATCCAGCTCCTCATCCCTCCTCCTCCTCCGAATTATCTTCCCTCCACCATCCATTTCCCCTCCACCTTCACCGTCTCCTCCTCCTCCTCCTTTCTCCCATCCCTTAGCTTTTTTAATTTTCTCATCGTCGCTGTTTCCGTCGTCGTCCCACTTCCGGGTCGGCGGCACCGGCCGTACGGCCTTCGTAATACTGGAACGTATCACTATCATGACCTCTTGCTCCTCTGACTTCTGACTTTGGGCGCGGAGCGCGCCAGGGGCGGCGCCGGAGACGCCGCCAGGTGGGCCCAGCGGGGATCCAAGAGATCCGCGCGTAGCGCATTTTTTTGGTTTGTTTATGGCGTTGTTCTTCTTCGATGTGGGAAGTCCTGGAAACCTTGGCTCTACTGGAACGCATCACCATCATCATCATCATCATCATCATCATCATCATCAGCATCAGCATCATCATCATCATCATCATCATCATCATCATCATCATCATCATCATCATCGTCACCATCACCATCACCATCACCATCACCATCACCATCACCATCACCATCACCATCACCATCACCATCACCATCACCATCACCATCATCATCATCATCATCATCATCATCATCATCATCATCATCATCATCATGACCTCTTGCTCCTCTGACTTTGTCGCCGTGCCGACGCGCGGATGTGTCCGCGCGGGGCGCGCCGGCCGCGCGGCTGGCAGCTTCTCCTGCCCTGCACGGCTGCGGCGCCGCTGCCATGGCAAGAGGCCTCCCAACTGGGTGGCCCGAGCACCGTCAGAACTGATAGCTCAGACCCCCTCGAGTCATGAAAAAATCATGACAAGATTTTGTTCGCTATTTTCGGCCGCTGGGGGCCCTTTCCGGGGCCTCGGGACTGTCAAACAACGACTCGGGATGAAAAACTGGTCCCGGGAAATGGTTCTGGACCTCTGGGGGTCGCGTCATGAAAAAATCATGACGTTGGGGGTTCTGGGAGTTATGGGCGATAAGGATGCAAGCCCCTTGGGCGCCACATGTCTAAGCTTTTTCGAGCGGGGTTGGCCGTCGAAACGGATTGAAGGCGTACCGGGGAGGCAAGGATGCAAGGGGGGTACCCTTGGGAAGGTTACCCGTCCTTCTCATCGGTTTCGACTGTGATCAGATGGGGTCGGAGGATCGTGACGCATCGCTAAAATACATCGGCGTGGAGAGCATAGGGCTCCACACCGAGCCCCGCATCGCCGGTGTGGCGCGATCCTCCGACCCCCTCTACCTCGACCCCCTTTGGGCGGCCTGGAACGGCGGCCTCCAGCGCTCCGCCCTGCGGCGCCGGCGGCCGCGGCAGAGGGCGCTACCTCGTGGCTGCGGCGTCGGCTGCTCGGCCGCCCCCGCAGTCCATGCCGTGCCGCGCGCACGCGCCCGCCGGGTCCTCGCAGAAGTCCAGCATCTCCTCTTGGGAGAGCGGCTGCTGCACGTCAGCATCGGCCAACATAGATCATGTTTAGAGGATGCTCTAGGCACCCAAATGTCTCAGGGTCACCCCTAATGGTGGAATCAACGGAGACCATGCCATGTCTGAGGATGCAGGGCACCTGGGACGAGCGAAAATGCCAGGGTAGCCCTGGGCCATGGAAGCAGGAAAAACGTCAAGGTTTTCCAGGACCGAGGGACGAAAAAAGGTGCATCGCGCAAATGGATCATCCCTAACGCTGGTTTTGGCCCTGATGCGCCGCCCACATCGACCCTGAGGCCCATCCCGGGCCTGGGATCGGAGCATGTGCCCTCCTTGCTTGGCCAGGACTGCATGATTGCGATCCCGAGCCCAAGATCAACCTGGCCAAGGTTGGTGCCGGTGCATCTTGCCGGAAGAAGTTGGTAGAAGCATCAAATAGGAATGCGTTGAAAATAGATTGGGTGTCCGCCCGCCCCCTAAAGAGGACAGAAAAGGTGAAGCCACTCGATCATTGAAGTAGGAATGCGCTTAAAGTAGATTGGAAGCTGGGAGCCCCCAAAAATATATGTTCAACGACCGATGGGTAACCGACGCCCCCCGATCCTCCGCGAACGTGGAACACATCTCGTGCGAGGCCCACGCGACGTTCATCTCCTCGCAGATGGCACTGGCGTCGGCCTCTGAGCATCGTTGAACCAATCCCTATCCCCACGGGCGTGACCTTTGCCCCACTGGCCAGTTTACCCCACTAGAAGAGGGTACAGGCTGCTTCCTTCGCGTTTCGAGGGGCATATCCCCAACTGGGGTGGTGGGATGGTGGGGGTCGAGATGGGGATCGGGATGGGGATGGGGATCGGTTAAACGATACTGGTTACTGAGCCTCCAGCGAATCTCCCAGCTCCTGGGGCACGCCCGTGGCGAGTAGCGCCTCCCGCCACTCCGCGCCCTTCCGCGGGTCGGCAGCCAGCAGCCCGTCCTCTCCGAGTGTTGCCAGAATCGCCCCTTGCCTTGTGGATCCCATGGCAGTGGACACCCTAACAGTCCCATCATTGAATCAAGTATGTGTTTTCAATGTTTGGAAACTGTTCTAAACATGCTAAGAACAGGTTTTCATGTTTCAGACATGTATTCTGTATACTCCTGGAAAGTATCTGGCAACATGCTCCCTTTCCATTGACCGTCGTCCACAACCCTTGCCCAAGAGGTGCTCCCAAGATCTCCAGTGAGACGCAAATGGTCTCCAAAGCACCCGTCGGGAGGGCACCAGGGGCTCAACCGAACATCAGAGCGCTGGGGGAGCCTCGGGCCTCCGGGGGAGCAGAAAGGCATCGATACCGCCACTCCCCGGACCTCTCCCCGGGTGCGTTGAGACCGAATTTCCGAGGGTGATCCAGCCAGGGTGGCGAGGGCCCTCCAGGACGAGCAACAGTATCAGTATCGTTTCTCCTCCAGACATTCGACGTCTTGATGTTTTCAATATCGGGGGCGCGCAAACATGGATTGGCGATCCATGGATTTGGCACGCGGTCGCCCAATCCATGGATCGGGGGAGGTGCTCTCCCCAAAATGCGGCCCGTGCCGCCTCGCTCGGCGGCGGAAATCCGCGACTTCCCCTGGAAACGGGACCCGTCGCTAATCTACGCCCCCTTGATCCATGTTTGCGATCGCCTACCAATGCGTGACCCCCGGACGTCGCAACCACTTCCCCCGGGCTCACTGTCCATCCCCGCGTCGCGCTTTCACCGGCGCCGCCTCTGGCGCGCTCCGCGCGCCAGGGAGGGGGGTCCAGCGCGGATCCAAGAAATCCGCGCGGAGCGCCACAAGTTTATGTTTATGGCGTTTTTTCTTATTCGACCCTCTCTCTCTTGCACGCGGGCCAATTTGCTAATCGGTTGCCCCGACCAGCCCCACGCTGGTGCGGATTGCCTCCACCTCGCCACCGACGGAAAAAAAACAGGTTGTCAAGTACGCTGGATGACTGGGTCTGAATCTGTCAGCCCCTGGTCCTCGTCCAGCAGCCCCCCTCCGCGCAGGGCCGCGGCCATCGCCGCGGACTGCGCGGGGGTGACGCCGGCGATGCGCCCCGCGAAGAAGCCGTCGGAGACGCGCTGCGGCTCGCACCTCTGGAAGAACCCGCGGCGGCATCTAAGCAGAAACTCTCGGAGGTCAGCGCGGATCGGCGCCGGACCTTCTGTTTCGGCCTCCTGTTCCGCTCCACGGCCTCCGCTACAACCTCTCCGGCCTGTCCTGTCCTCTGCGCCCTGACGCTCACACCTCTTCCCACCTGCTTCCGCGCTACCCCTGGCGTGCGGAGCGCGCCAGGGGCGGCGCTGAAGAGCGGGGTCCCGGCTCAGACCCGAGACATGAGAGCGGACCTCCGAGAGATTGCAGGTGATCGTTTTCTTATTCTTTGCTTTGCCGATCGGCGCGGGGCCCTCGCATCCCCCCCTTCCCCCCCGTGGAGTAGAAGCTCGTGGCTGTTTCTGGCGCATGCTTCGAGCGGGTGGGGGGTCTCCCCCATAGGACGCACTGCTGCAAACAGTCGCACTCAGCAGAGGCCTGGAGCCAGACCCCCCCCCTATTTCCCCCCCCCCTCCCGCCCAGTGCCAAGACGACGAACATACCGGCGATCGCGCTGCCAGAGCGCTGCAAGGGCTGCTCTGACCACGGCGAGCCTCGGCCGGCCACGAAGAGGCTCCCCCGCACCCCGGGATCATGGGGAGCGGCCCGACGGGCAGAGCCCCTCCCGACCCGAAGGATGGTGCGTACCCTCCTCGTCTCGACTGCACCCCGCGTGTGGCGCCCAGATTGTCTCAGCACAGGGGGGGCCAGTCCACAGGAGACCTCCCACACGAAACCCAACCCCGAGACCCCAGGACGTCCATCGATTCCTAGTGTGGGGGCATCACGCCTTCCGTCGCAAGACCATCGAAACCCAAGAAACCCAGGGCACCCTGGAGGCAAGCAGGGTGTTCCTTGGCATAGGTCTCCACTGTACCTTCCTCGTCTCGACTGCACCCAACATGTGTCCTGATGTTCTTTTTAATACGGGTCCCTGAAATCCAGATCCTTTCCCTGGGACCTCTTTTTTCATCCTGGGCAGCTGTTTAACTATCCCGTGGCCTGGTGAAGGCCCCCAGGGTCCCAAAACGGCCAAAAACCTCACGTCCTGATGTTTATCAAAATGCGGGATCGGGGAACTTGGGTTGGACTGACGGATCCGTCAAGAATTTGACGCGACGTCCCGATGCAAACATCCCACGAAACTTGGCCCGTCAAAGCCCAGGACGGGCCCGTCAAAAAGCGTCGGCAAACCCGAGTTCGGGTGAACTCTAGTCTTAGTGGAAGAGCAGGAACAGCACAAACTGCAAAAACTCAATCGAACCCGAGTTCGGGCGAAAAGCAAAAGCACAAACTCTCGACGGTCCTCGCGGATTTCTTGGATTTGAGCTGGACTCCCCTCCCTGGTGCGAAGAGCGTGCCAAGGGCGGCACCAGAGGCGCCGCCAGGGGATCCTGGGCGCCGTTCCAAGGAATTTGCGCGGAACTCCGACAATAAATATGTATGATAGTTGTTTCTTCTTAGTGACGGACTCTGACTCCAACAGCACTGGTAAAATAACTATTCCCCCGCGGCGGCTACCGCTGATGATCATGGGAAAGATCAGGACCCCTGATGGTGATCGCGGCGACCACCGCAGATGATCATGTGGAAGACGAGGACCACTGGTGGTGGTGATGATGATGCCAATGATGCTAATGCTAATGTTGATGCTGATGCTGCTGATGATGATGGTGGTGCTGATGCTGCTGTTGCTGATGATGATGATGGTAATGATCATGATGATAATGATAATGATGATGCTGGCAATGATACTGAGGACAATCGTGAGAACAATAGTGACGACAATACCATTCCTAACCAGAACAAAAACAACACTACAATTCAACACGGACACTTTTGATGAACATAATGGTGCTGTCGATGGTGTAATGGGTGATGATGGTGATGATACTGAACATAAGGATGTTGATGCTGATGCTGATGATGATGCTGATGCTGTTGATCACAATGATGATGATGATGATGATGATGATGATGATGATGATGATGATGAGGCTGCTGCTACTGATGCTGATGATAATGATGGCGGTTCTGATGGTTCGGATGACGACGATGATGATGGTGATGATGATGGTGATGCTGATGATAATGCTGCTGCTGCTGCTGCTGATGATGATGATGATGATGATGATGATGATGATGATGATGATGGTGATGGTAATGAGGAGGAGCAGCAGGAGGAGGAGGTAACGATGAGGAGGGGAGACACTCATAATTGCCAAACAGGAGCTTAATTTGGCATCATCAAACATCTCCTGAGGTTACCCGTCGGTCGGAAATCGGTAGAACCATGAAGTAGGACGGCGTCGGCAATGTATTGGGCTTCCCACAGCTCCTGACGAGGAGGGAAAAGGAAAACCGCCAACTTTGGAAGTATGAAAGCCCCTAGAAATTAGATCTGGATCTGAGCAGCCAACAATACATATTTCCAACTACCGAGGAGTATGCTTCTTGATATTTCTTGAGCAGGAGCCGTCCGTCCTGGCATTCTTGTAAGCCCACCACGAAATCTTCTCAGAACAACAGAACAGAAACAATGCTCACATGACATACAACGGCTGTATCAACACAGGAGACCATTTATTTAACCAGCGATAGCCCGGTTTGTCGGGGGGGGGGGAGGAGGGGGCCGGCCGATAACCTAACCTTCGCGCTGTGGGCAGCCCTGCATATGCCCGCGCCCCCCCACCCAGGACCTGCACAACCGGCAAGGTTGGGTTATCCTGGGGGGGGAAGGGGGGGCAGGCCCGATAACCCGGATTATCGCCGGACCCTAAAAAAACAGTCTCCAGGACAGTCTCGGCCAGAACTGTTCAAATCGCATCTCGTGCCAAACACAAGCAGGTGATTCGACGATTCTTCGGTGGGTCTCCAAGCAAGCCTGCGGCAAGCCAAGACGCTTCGCCACTGCTCGACCCGCGGCCCGCGCCCGAGCGCTGCTTCGAAAAGGACGGGGAGCAGGAGGAGAAGGACGAGGAGAGGAGGAGGAGGAGGAGGAGGAGGAGGAGGAGGAGGAGGAGGAGGAGGAGGAGGAGGAGAAGGAGGAGGGGAGGAGGATAAGGAGGATAAGGAGGGGGAGGAAGGAGAAGGAGGAGGAGGAGAACTAAGGAGGAGGAGGATAAGGAGGAGGGGAGGAGAAGGAGGAGGAGGGGAGGAGGATAAGGAGGATAAGGAGGGGGAGGAAGGAGAAGGAGGAGGAGGAGACTAAGGAGGAGGGAGGATAAGGAGGAGGGGGGGGAGAAGGAGGAGGAGGAGGAGGAGGAGTAGGAGGAGGAGGGAGGAGGAGGGAGGAGGAGGAGGCGGAGAAGAAGGAGGAGGACGCATGCTTCTTGACGATTCTCCCCCCTCGAGACCTCAGCTCCGCGGCGGGCACGCCGGCGGCACGCAGGGGTGGCAAGCCCTCCTCCCAGATGCGGACCGCCGTGCGCGCGTCGCGTGGCATGTGCACGAAGAGCGTCGGCGGCGCCCTCCAGGTCACCTCGCAGGGGGGGAGGAGGAGGGGGAGGAGGAGGAGGAGGAGGAGGAGGAGGAGGAGGAGGAGGCGGAGGAGGAGGAGGAGGAGGAGGAGGGAGGAGGAGGAGGAAGAGGAGGAGGAGGGATGGGGGAGGAGGTGGGGGAGGAGGTGGGGAGGGGGCCGAGGGAGGAGGAGGAGGAGGAGGAGGAGCAGGAGGGGAGGAGGAGGAGGAGGAGGAGGAGGAGGAGGAGGAGGAGGAGGAGGAGGAGGAGGGGAGGAGTGGGAGGAGGAGGTGGGGGAGGAGGAGGAGGGAGGAGGGGGAGGGGAGGGGGAGGGGGAGGGGGAGGAGGAGGAGGAGGGATAGGGAAGGAGGAGGAGGAGGAGAGGAGGAGGATGAGGGAGATGAGGAGGATGAGACGAGATGAAGATGAGGAGGAGGAGGAGGAGGAGGAGGAGGAGGAGGAGGATTGTCACGGCTGTCGTTTAAGGCACGGGTAATGTTTTACCGCTGCGTGCCCTAACAATGGTGGCATGCTACGAGGAGGAGGAGGAGGAGGAGGAGGAGGAGGAGGAGGAGGAGGAGGAGGAGGAGGAGGTGGGGGAGGGGAAGGGGGAGGAGGAGGAGGAGGGGGAGGCACACAAGCATCGGCACGCCATGCGGATCCCAGCAAGATGTGCACCACCACCACCTCCACTCCCTTTCCCTCCTCTCCCCTCGCCTTCCTCTCCTCTTTCCTGGGAGGGGGCGGGGATGGGGGAGGTGGCGGTGCACCCGTACGCCTCGCAGGGGGGGGGAGAGCCCAGAATCGAATCGATAAGTCGGACCGGCGATCGAAATCAATCGGACACGGGCAGGCTGATAGGCCTCCGTGAGAGGAATCGGAATCGACACCGGGATCCGAGGTCGAATCGGAATCGGAATCGGAAACCATCGAAACCGAATCGACTCGGAGGTCACCTCGCTGGCAAAGGTGGATGTCAAATCGACACGAACGAGGTCACGAGCGGCGAGCGTGTCTGGCTCCGCGCCCTCGCGGTCGGGATTCTGAGGCGCGATGCTGCGACTACGCGGTCGTGCGGGTACGTTCCGCGCGGGGCCTCCGCGAAACAGTGTCCTGTATCCGCGGCCTGTCGGCCCTGCCCGCGAGGCCGCGGGTACGGATGTGTTTTCTTTGCGTTTTCGTCCACGAGGCACGCCAGGAAGCTGGAATAGACGAACAATCAGCGCCGGAGACGCCGCCATGGGGGCACAGCGCAGATTCCAGATATCCGCGCGGAGCCACGACAGTTTATGCTTATGCAGCGTTCCTCGTGGCTGGATCCACACGTGAGCGACGAGGAGCAATGGGACTTGCGCGAGAAGACACTCGGTGCAATACGCCGCGGCTTACGCGGGCCGCCAGCGCGGCACGCCGCATTGCAAACGTTAGCGCTTGCGCGCGGCCTCACGCGGGCAGCTTACGCGCCAATGTCCGCGCATACGACCACATTTTTTGAGGCCTACCAGATGGGGTCCGAGCAGATGGGATCGGAGGATTGCACCGAGTGGCCGATGCAACGCCGACGCATCGCCGACGTCTGCGTGGATGAATCGGGTTCCACATCGGGCCACATCGCCGAACAACGGCGATGCGGCGCGATCCTTCAACCCCCTCTGCTCGGACTTGAGCTTCAACTGTCGGAGAGACGTGAGGCTCGGGCTCGGGGGACTCAGGTTGGCCCGACGGGGCCGTCAAAAAACTGACGAGGCCCACTCTGAAACTTGACGCGTGCTCCCGCTGCAGACATCCCACGACAACTGGACCGTCGAAATCCGGGAGGCGCTCGTCAACAAGCGCCGGCAAACCCGAGTTCCGGCCTATCGAGGCGGAGGCGGAGGCGGAGGAGGAGGAGGAGGAGGAGGAGGAGGAGGGATAGTGGGAGGAGGAGGAGGAGGGATAGGGGGAGGAGGAGGAGGAGGAGGAGGAGGAGGAGGAGGAGGAGGAGGAGAGGAGGAGGAGGGAGGGGGAAGGAGGAGGAGGAGGAGGAGGAGACGGAGGAGGGAAGGAGGAGGGGTGAGGAGGGTAAGAGGAGGGAGGAGGAGGAGGAGGAGGAGTCCTACGTTCCCTCGCAGCTGGGAGGCGCAGAGTGTCCTTGCGTCGCTCGTGCGGAGCCCGCGGCGGGCCCCTGCTGGAGGCACGATGGCGGAGGATCTCACCGTGCCATGGAACCGAGCGAGGGTACGGGAGCGCTGGGGAGAGAGGCCATCGGGGGCGCGCAAACATGGACTGGTGATCCGTGGATCTGGCGCGCGGTCGCCAAGTCCATGGATCGGGGGAGGGGGGCCCTCCCCCCAAAGTGCAGCCGGTGCCGCCCCGCTCGGCGGCGGAAATGAGCGATGTCCCATGGAAACGGGACCCGTCGCTAATACACGCCCCCTTGATCCATGTTTGCGATCGCCTGAGACCAGTAGCCGCACGCGAACACAGCTCTCTCGGGGCGCGAGCCACGCCGCGTGCATCCCAGGGCTCGAGCTGAACAGTGCTTCTCATGCTCCTTTTATGCTCGTTCTCTCCGTCGTGCTGTCTCAGCTCCGCTCCTGCTGCGAGGCGCGATCAGAACGGAAACGGTCCACGAGATCGCCCAAACACCGTTCGGCTCGAGCCCTGGTGCATCCACGAGCGTCGTCTAGCCGACCCCCGTCCACCCCCCACCACCGGCGTAGCCTTGGCCCCCACTGGCCGACCTACTGTTAGGGCGGGCATGTCCCCCTACAGTTTTGGGCGAAGTATCCCCAATGGTCAAAATATCAAAAAGCAGTAAAACAAATCGTCTCCTGACTACCTTTTCTGGCTATATTTGAATCTTCCTCCTGTAGAGGGACAGGCCCGACTTAAACCTACCCCCCAAGGTAGGGATAGAGGTAGGATGTTTCCTTCGGACCTCGCGGGGCATAGCCCCCCCCTGGGCGGGTGACCTGGCAGGGCTGAGATGCTGCGGCCCAATGGGATGAGCGAACGAAGGAACGTCACTAATTACAGCGAAGGCCGTCCCAGCTACGGGGATGGACGTGTAGCGCCGCAGCGCTCAGAGCGCATTCTCGAACAAACCCTCATGAAGATAATGCGTGCCGTTGTCTCTCTAAGGATGGTGTACCACTTCTCTGGCACAACTTGGAAACCGCTTGTCCACAAGAACTTGCACAAATCGTCGTACCACCTCTCCCGTGGTCGGTAGGGCCCTCTTCCCTTCGCTCGTCGGTCTGAGCCTGCACGCCATGCCACGAATGCGCCCTGCACGGCCCAACAGGATGGGAATCGGTCCGGCTCTTGCGAATCGACGCTAGTCAACGCAACATCTGCGCTGATCGACGCTAGATCGACGCTAACCGACACTAAATCGGCGCTATCCCATCGACCCCCAGACGCTCATCGACGCTAGCCGACAGAATTACGAGTGTACGCACCCAGACCTCCAACGTCATGATTTTTTCATGACGCAGCCCCCACAAGTCCGCACCCTTTCCCTGGGACCGGTTTTTTCATCCTGAATCTTTTTTTGACGGTCGCGAGGCCCGGCAAGGGCCCCCCGGGAGCCGAAAATCAGGAAAAACCTCCCGTCGTGATATTTTCATGACTGGCTGGTGTCTGGGCAAGGCTCCAACGTTTTGCTACCGAATTTGGAACAATTTTTATTTGAATCGGCGATAACCCGGATTATCCCGGGGGGGGCTGGCCGATAACCTTACCCTTCGCGCTGTGGGCAGCCCTGCATATGCCCGCGCCCCCCCACCCCGGACCTGCACAACCGGCAAGGTTAGGTTCTCCTGGGGGGGGTGGGGGGGCAAGCTCGATCACCCGGGGTATCGCCAGACCCTAAACAAAAACAGTCGTGATAGTCTCATGACTCGATGGGGTCTGGGCAAGGCTCCCACGACTTGCTGCCGCACTTCCTCCCTCGGACACCTCGGCCCCGTCCGCGCCGATCGCGGAGCGCCGGAGGGGGGCCAGCGGAGCCGGCGGCGGCCCTGCCGCCCGGCCCGGCTCGGTTGGAGGAGGGGCAGCACGGCGCACCCAGACCTTCCAGGGTGCTAAGAAGTAGCCCTCAAGGCCCAGAAGCCCATCTGGGCGGCCTAAGACCTCGACAGGAATTAAGACGTCGAGGTCCTGGTGCTATTTCTTAGCCCTCCTGGAAGGTCAGGGGCAGGCCTGAACTCTTGGCGCTCCAGGCGCGGGAGGAGGCTCGCCGGAAGGCCAGAGCCTTGCGGAGCCTTCTGGGGAGGCACGCCTTGAGCAGGGGCCGACCGTCGCGGCATTCCTCTAGGCCTACCACGAGCTGTTGTTAGAACCCCAAACATGTTCTACGAACAAGCACAATGTTCTTAGAACATGAGCCCGATGTGGTAAAGCAGTACAGTCTCAGCCAGAAGTGTTCTATGCTCTTGGACCCCAAAGACGTTTGAATAACAAAAGCAAGCCTCTCATAGACATACACCCGATTTGTTGAAACCAGACAGTCTCAGCCAGAAATGGTCGAAGAACATCTCGCGCAGACCCCGAGCGGTTCCTGGAACATCCTTCGGTGGGCTTGCAAAAGACGCCAGGGCGCTTCGCCACTGTCTGAACGCCCCTTCCGCCTTCCCCCCAAGGATGCGCCGCCGATCCTCGGGCAGGAGAGGGCCCCCCCCCCGCTGGTACTTGGAGCGCCTCTCGGATGAGGGCGACTGCATAACTGGCCATCGCTCGGACGTCCATTCCCTGTGCTTCGTTCGATTTCGTGCGTGGCTTTTTCGCCAAATGATCAAGGATGCTCATCGATGGTCCTCGCCGTTGGAAACATACCCACGTCCGAGCGATGCCACGATGAGCGCATGCGCATACACTCCTGGCGGTCCAGGCGCGGGTTTCTCGGAGCCGCGCTGGGCCCCCCTCCCTGGCGCGCGGAGCCGAGAGGCCCGCGCCTGGAGCGCCAAACATTCTCATGTCTGTGCCGTGTGTACCTTCTTCGACGGCTCCGCTCGAGACCGGCTGGGAGGGTGGCTCGAGACACTGGGAGCTCCGACCTCGGCCCCCGGACCCCTCCTGGGACCCAATACGCAGGAGCGTCTGCCGCGCTTGGGGAAGCGAAGAGGCACCGATGCCGCTACTCTAAGGCCGGGCATGTCCTCCTAGAGGCGGAGCTTGGGCGAACCGTAGACATAGTCAAACCATATTCAGAGCAAATGCAAAAATAGTCAGCAAAACTCGTACCCCGACGATTCTCTGACTATGATTGGGGATTTTTTCCTGTAGAGGGACAGGCCCGACTTGACGCTGCTCCCCGGACCTCTCCCGGGGCGCGCTCCGACCAGGACCTCGGGGCGACGCCAGCGGTGGCGACGACAGGGCCGCCCGGGAGGCCGAGCAAAAAAAAAAGGCAAGCGGGCGGAGGGGGAGCGGCATGCCCGGACAGTCGACCCCCCGAGGCCTCGACCCGTCCCCGGGACCAGCGCTTCCTCCCGAGTCGTCTTTGACAGTCCTGAGGCCCAGGAAGGGCCCCCACAGAGCCCGAAGACAGCGAACAACCTCCCGTCGTGATTCCTCCCCATTGCTCGAGGGGGTCTGGGTGTTTGGGTGTCTGTTCCTCCTCTGAGCGCTGCGTCCAGCCGTGGCTCGACGAGGGCCCTCCCCCCCCCCAAGGGCCAGCTGCCAGCAGCTCTGGCGGCCCTCCTCTCAGGAGATCCTGGCCTGTTTTGTTCGCAAGCCGGGGCCGAGCATCTGTGAGCTCTCTTCAGGGCCGTGAGCGGGACTCGACCCCCCTGCCAGACGCCCAAAGACCTCACGGACTTTCATGCCTCCAATGCAGGGGTACGCCATGGCGCCGGGGAGACTGATGTTGCCGCCATCGTAAGCACTTGAGGACCACATCGCAGAAAGAACTCCGAGCACCCAGAAAGGCATCGAAACGGTGTCGAGCGAGTAGTATCGCCTCCCAGGGCCCGACGCGTGCAGACCCTCCCGCTTCGGTACGTTCTTGGTGCTTGAAATTCTTTCTGGTGATCAAGGCTACATGAGGAGGAGGAGGAGGAGGAGGAGGAGGAGGAGGAGGAGGAGAAGAAGGAGGAGGAGGAGGAGGAGGAGGAAGCTGAGGAGGAGGGGGAGGGGGAGGAGGGGGAGGAGGAGGAGGAGGAGGAGGAGGAGGAGGAGGAGGAGGAGGGGGAGGAGGAACAGGTTGGAACACCAAGTCGCACGGCCACTCGGAACTGCTGCTGGCATTCGCCCCCGCGCCGACCCCCGCACCCGTGCCGGGCCCTGCCAGGACCCATGGCCCCCCTCCGCGAGAAGTCCGCGTGGCCCGGCACGCGCATGATCTGCGGGATGCGGCACCTCGGGGGGCCCGACGCCCCTGGCAGAGGCCTCCTAGATGGGCTCCGAGCAGATTGGGTCGGAGCATCGCGCCGCATCGGCACTTCCTGGGCGATGCATCGGCGATGCTTCGGCGATGCACCAGCGACGTCGGCGATGCATCGGCGACGTCGACGTGAAGCAGATCGTGCCCCACATCGAGCCGCGTCGGCGATGCATCGGCAATGCGGCATGATCCTCCGACCCCATCTACTCTGACCCCATCCAGGAGACCGGGAACTGGGGGGGACCAGCCTCCGGCTAGGTCGGGTATGCCCTTCTACAGGGGGACTGTCGAAGAAGAATGATAACACATAACCAAACAGTCAACAGAACTAGTCAAAAGAGGAGCACGACCAATCGTCAGCAGACTATTTCAGGTCCTACTCTTTTCCTACCGTGGAGGGACGTGCCCGACGTGAGCCTGCGGGGGGGAACATCGCCACTGCCTTCGGGGGGGCCAGCCTACGGGGGGGCCAGCCTTCGGGGGGGGGACCAGCCTTCGGGGGGGGGCACAACCCTGCGGGCGGACCCGGCCGGACGTGCCTGCCCCGTGCACTCTTCGATTCCGTGCGTGTTTGTTTCTCGCGAGGTGTTCCAGGATCAGAAGCCTCCTGAATGGGGTTCGAGTAGGTGGGGCCAGAGGATCGCGCCGCATCACCGATGCATCGGCGACGCATCAACGATACATCGCCGTCGGCGATGCACTGGCGACGTCGGCGTGGAGAACAACGGGCTCCGCATCGAGCCGCATCGGCGATGCATCGGCGAGGCGGCACGATCCTCCGACCCCATGTACTCTACTCCGACCCCATCTAGGATGATGGACCTGTTTTCCACCACCACCACCACCACCGAAGTTGGAGGGGGAAGGAGGTGGAGGATGAGGAGGAGGAAGCGGAGGAGCAGGAGGACACCATCCCTCTCCTGCTTATGGTGTTGGCGGTGGTGGAAAATGGGCCCATCATGGTCGCTCGCCGATGCTCCTCGACGGTGCTCCTCGACGGTGCTCGCCAAGGGAACAGCATGCACCCGCCTGCGCGAGGCCGAGGAAGCGGCGCTGCATCTCGCCGACCCGGTGGGCGGCAGGCCCCCGACCGCAGAAGCGCACGCTCATGGGCGGGGCGCGGTGCCGGGGGGCCCCCTGTCGGCGACGAGCGGGCGATGGGGCGTCGATGCAGCCTCGAGGTCGGGCGTGTCCTCCCACAGGCTGGTAGGAGGAGGAGGGGGAGGAGGAGGAGGAGGAGGAGGAGGAGGAGGAGGAGGAGGAGGAGGCGGAGGAGGAGGAGGAGGAGGAGGAGGAGGAGGAGGAAGAAGGAGAAGGAGAAGGGAAAAAACACTGTTTACACATTTCTGGCCAAGGCAGAGTCAAACATGGCCAGCAGAGCGCGACACATCGTTGCCAGGCCACGTTTAACCATCATTGGCGATTCCCCCCCGTATAGGGACATGCCCGACTTAATGCATCTCCCCCTGATCGGTGGCGAGCGAGGGGGGCAAGTGAGAATCAGAGCTCCCCAACCCCCCCGCGACTTCTGACAGGTCCTTGGCGCATTCGGGGAATGCTTAGAACACTTCCCAGAAGGCCCGGGGACGTCCGAGCCTTTTGGGAAGGACCGCCCCTCTTCGAGTGCTGGCGAAACATCCTGGCTTGCCTATAGGCCCACGAAAGAAAGCTCTAAGAACCGTTGGTGATCTGCGCGAAATGTGATTCGAACGTTTCTGGCCGAGACCATATCGCTTTCACACATCGGACCTCTCTTCTGAGAACAGTGCTGTCCTTTTTCGAACATCTTGGGGTTCAAAACAAAATCGTGGTCAGCTTAGGTCGGGCCTGCCCCCCTACAGGGGGACCTTGGGTGAAACATTGAAAATGCCCAAAACAGATGCAAACAACTCAACAATGTGTAAAAAAAATCGTCCCCGATCTATTGTTTGACTATTTTTGACTATTCCTCCTGTAGAAGGACAGGCCCGACTTAATGGTAGGCCTATGGGAATGCCAAGACGGCGGCCCCTGCTCAACACTCCCACTTCCCCCCCCCCGACTCGCCGTCGACCTGAACCCATCCCCGTCCCTGGCGGCATCTGGGCCGCACCTCGGGCCTGCGGCGGCCCCTCGGGACGATCCAGCCACCCCAGGAACGCGCCCGGCGAGGCGGAGCTGCGGGACAGCACCCCGGGGCTGGGAAGACCGAGGACCTCGAACCTTGCACCTTGACCCTCGGAACCCTCGAACCTTGTCCGACTCGCGCTGACCGAGCGCGACGCAGCAGGAAACCGCGCCCACAACGCCGAGGCGCCGTGACCAGGTCAGGCCAAGGCCCTCGAACCTTGAGCTTTGACGGCGCCCCTGATTTCTCGCCCGCCGCCCTTTTTCCCCGACGCTCTGCCGGCAAACCGGCCGCCGCCTTGCTTCCGAGGCCCTCCGCCGAGGACGAAACGCGCGCCGCAGGCGAGGCTTTTTTGTTCTCCCTCTCTCTCATTTTTCTGGAGCGCCCAGCGTAGCTGTCCCCCCCTGGTGTTGCCCCAGACCTTTTCCTTTTGTTTCCCCTTCCTCCTCCTTTTCCCTCCTCCTCCTCCTCCTTTTCCTCCTCCTCCTCCTCCTCCTCCTCCTCCTCCTCCTCCTCCTCATCATCATCATCAGCATCATCATCATCATCATCATCGTCACCATCATCATCCCCCTCCTCCTCCTCCTCCTCGTCCTCCTCGAAGCCCTCCTCCTCCTCCTCCTGCTCCTCCTGCTCCTCCTGCTCCTGCTCCTCCTCCTTTTCCTTTTCCTCCTCCTCCTCCTCCTCCTCGACCATCCCCCCGGGAGGGAAAGGACGGAAAGGAAAAGGAAGAGGATGATGATAAGGAGGAGGAGGAGGAGGAGGAGGAGGAGGAGGAGGAGGAGGAGGAGGAGGAGGAGGAGGAGGAGGAGGAGGAGGAGGAGGGGGGAGGAGGAGGAGGGGGGAGGAGGAGGAACACCTGCTGGACTTTTGGGCCCAACGCAGAGGTCGTGCACAAGGGGGAGAGGAGGGAGGGCCACCGACGGACCCGCACACCCGCCACACAAAACCTCCGCCTGCGGTTCCGCGGGGTAGGCCCTATCGGGTGACAGACGAAGCACGCTTTTCGGCGGAAGGAGGACGGGGGAGGTCACAGCACGCCCCCCGTGCCGCCAGGCGCTCGGTCAAGGCGCGCTGGACGGCAAATCGTGCGGCCCCGCGGCGAAGAAACAACCCTGGGCCAATTCCAGCGCGTTTCGCGAGTTGCGCGATGGCTCACACTGCGCCGCGAGTTGATGCCCATCGGCCGTGACGTCACGCCCGAAGGTCAAGCAAAGCGGCACGAGAACTGTCCCACCGCTGGGGTGTGTGAGAGGGTGAGGCATTCTGCAAGCGACTAGATATGCTCGTGCCCCCGCCATTATTTCGACGCGATCGGGGAGGCCCCTGCAAAACGTCGCTGGGATTTTCACGAACCTGCCCAATGGCACCAACGACGGGCAACGGCCGCCCTTCCATGTGGTGCCACATATATAAACAAATTGGCGGAACGAATTGAACATAGCCAATTTTACTGTTAATTGCGCTTGCGTTCGCTCGCGACGCTGCCGCTCCCCGTTGCACGGGTCGGCGGACGCGGCCAACGCCAACGCTAATGCCTTCCTTGCTCGGGCACGGGCTAGTGTGCCGATCGGCTCCCATTGGTGATCGTAAAGTTTTCGTGAAAGAACCGCCACTCGCTGCCCCTTCGCAGCCGCCGACCCCTTTTCCCGATCGGACAGGGCATCGCCCCGACATGGGGAAAACGCGCTCGGCTCCTGAGGCGGCGGTGTCTTCGCCATCGGCCATGTGCGACGGGGTCCAATTCAGATTGACCTCTCCAATCCGCACCAGGCAATTCATTTTCCGAACTGCAGATCCTCGTTGGCGTTTTTTTTTTTGTTGTTGTTTCTGGCAGGGCCTGCCAGAGGTCAGAGCCTCGGCTAAGGGCAGGTTTTTTCATTTATATTATTAGTTATAAAAAATCGTTGCAATTTTCCAGAGCTAGCGCAAGGCGCGGGCAGTGCTGATCGCGAGCCTGGTTTAGATGCCCCCAGCCATTTCCCGCCCCCCGTGCCCATCGGCTCTCTCGACGCGACAGCGGCAGCGCCGCTCCTTCGCCGCCGAGGACCCGGACTGCCCCCGCCCCCCCAAACCCCGTCAACGAAAATAACGACGCGCCGAAGCCCAGGGTGGCGCCGAGACCCGGCGATCGGAACGGGGCCGAATATCTCAAGACTTCTCGGGGAAGCTCGGCAGGTGCTCGCAAGAAACAGGCGTGGCGCCTCGGGGCCACGCAGCTGGACATTGCTCGTGCTGGGTCTCAACTTGGCTAGTGCGGGACAGGCTCTTGTCTAATTCGGAGCCAACAGTGCGCGGAGATCTCCGGATCCCGAAACAGCGCGCGGGGCTCCTGCCGGCAGCTCACCTGTCGGGCCCCGGCCCATTGCCCACCCGAAACCGCCGCATTTAGCAAGCCTGCAAACAAATCGCATTTGCCTTCAGCAACGCATAATTTCACTTCCCTTCCCACCAACTGCAAATCCCTCCTCTGTAATGGTCCTCGGCTTCGGGCCAGAGCTGGGGCGCGAGGTCCTAGGCCGGGTCGCCGAGCAGCTCAGTGAAATCAGGATCGCCCTGCTCTAGACCTGGCTCGTCAACGCCGGGGGGCCCGGCGCTGACTTGCGCCAGGGGCCGGCCGCCGACGGAATCCCACTAGCCCTCTGGGCGTTGATGCATTGACGGATGTTGATTTCTCTCTGCCCCCTCCCCCCCCCCCCTTCCCCGGCGCCCGGCGGGGAGTGCGTGCGCGGGGGGGGGGGGGGGGGCGGAGCTAGATGGGGCGCCCGAGATGGCCCAAGATGGTTCAAGACAGCCTGCGACGCGCATCCTAATGGTCTCAAGACGGCCCCCAGAGCGGTTTCAAGCGCCCTCAGAGCCCTCTGAGGACCCCCCCCCTAGAGGCCAGCACCATTCTAACGCCTGGGGATAATCGTCGCAAATCGCACTCTCGCCCGGGCGTTTCAGCCGGGCTCTCGAAGCCTCGAGATGGCCCCGGAAAGGGCCCCAGAGGGCCCCGAGAACGTGAGCGCTGCCCAAAGATGGCATCGAAACATCCTCTTTGAACCACCGATTGGGGGGCGCGCGGGGGGGGGGGGGAGCTGATGGCCCCCCGCTTCTTCGCCTGAGGGGCCCAGGGCGGCCCCGCGAGGCCAGCCAGCCCCCCAACCCCCCCGCGGAACCTCAAGAGGGCTCATCGACCCCAGAGAGGCTCCAAGAAGGCGCGGAAAGTGCCGGGATAAACCAAATCAGTTCCCAGGGACCTCCGAGAAAACGCTTCCAAGGCGGCCGCTGCGCTGAACATATCTACATTTCCCTGATCGAGGCAACTCGCCGGGCGGCCCGTTTCTGGATGGACTGGCGGGGGCGCGCGAGGCGTCGCGAACTCGCCCCGCTTCGCGCCCATTGGCAACGACCGTTCGCGCGGGACCTCTTGCCCGCCGCCGCCGACGGGCGGCGTTCGCGCGCGGGGGGGGCAGGAACTTCCGGGCCCGCAGCTGGATTTCTAGAACGACCAGAGGGCGGAGCTCAACATCTGGGCCCCTGCGGCCCCGATGCCAGGAGCAATGCAGTTCGAGGCCTGCCTTCTGAGCGCCGCCATGGCGCGCGGGGGGGCCCCGGCGTCTCTCGGCGCCCGGCGCGCGTGGGCCGCCTGGGCCAGGGCCCCGGCAGTCCAGGGCGAGACTGCGATCTGTCGGAGCTTGGCCGACCTGCTCATGCTGCGAATCTTCTAAAACCTCCCTGCGGGACTGGCTGGGCGAACCTTCGCCGCGACCAGACTGACTGCCGCTGCGAGCCCAGCGTCGCGTCCTCAATCGACCGGAACGCCGGCCTGCGCGAGAATGCCAGCGTGGCCTGCAAGCTTCTGCGAAATTCAGCTTCGCTCTGCACTTGAGTGTGAAAGAAGCTTCGTCTTCTCAGAAGATCCCGACCTCCGCGCTTCTCGCGCCGTGGGCCATGGCGCCCGCTATTCGAGGCAACCCTGCCGCGACAGATTCGGCGGAACACTCCGCGCTCAAAGCGGCGCCATATATAGAGGACCACAGCTGGCACGACGGGATGCCCTGATGGGTTTGGCCCAAAAGTCGGGCGAGGAGAAGGCTCGGGCAGGGGCGCCCCTGGGCGCGATCCCGCCACCTTTGAAAGAGCGGGGCGGGTGGCCAGACCCGCCCCCCGCGCGCCCCTGAGAACCCTCGGGCCCAGGGGCGCCCGCGCCTCCAGGGGCGCGATCAAAGCTGGGGGCCCTGCGCCTGCAGCCGCGCGGATGCGCGCGGCCAAGCTAGGCGAGCCGAACAACGTGCATGATCGGGCAGGGGCGTCGCCACTCGACCGCCAGCCGGCGCCGCTGCCCCATCCAACAGGCCCCGTGGCAACGCTGCTCCGATCGCTGAGCTGCCGCCCAGCGCCTCGGCCCAAAGATCCGTTTAACCCTAAGCTCCAAACCAGCGCGGGCGATTCCTGTTCGCGCCCTACACCAATGATCATGGTCAATGACTGTCGAAATCGCGCCGGCGGCGCGATCTCGTGACAGGTTGGGGCCAGGGAAGAGCGTGCGAATCGTAGCGGAAATTCTTTCAGGCATGAGTCGGGTGGCGCTTCGTCGGCGCCGCCCTTGATCGCGCCCTCCCGCGCAGCCCCGCATTTCCCGCCGGCGGCCCCCGATCCTCTGCTCAGCTCGTCCGCCTCCAGCTCGAGGTTCGGCTCTCTCCGATCATCGCCCGCGCGATGGATCGCGCGACCAGCGGCGGCAATGACCGCCACCCCGCGGGCGAGCCGCGAGCGACGCCACTGCGACGAGCTTCCAGCGCATCACCCCTCGGCGCCGCTCCCGACGGGCGCCGGCCCTCCAGCTCGCAGCCAAGGCTTGGGCCAGCGGGGCCGTCGACCGCCTCCCTCGCGGGGGCCCCGCGAGTCGCCGCCGCGGCGCCGCCGCCCCCGACCGCGGCCAGCTCGCGCCCGGGGCCCTGGGGATTTGACCACGCCCCTCGCGGGGGGCCCGCGAGCGGCCGCTAGAGGGCGCGCCCCGCGGCAGCCGCACCCGGCTGGATCGAGCTCGCAGTGAGGGCCCTGCGCCCGCGCGCCTCCTTTGTGCAAGCTGGGCCCATCCAGGAGCTCTCGCCGCTTCTGCCCCTGGGCCCGCGGGGGGTTTCGCTGCGGCGCCAGGCCCAGCGGGCCGCGCGCGCCGCGCGTTTGTCTCCGCGTCGCCCGCGGTCCAAGAGGGCCGAAGGGCGCTGCCAGATTTCCCGATGCCCCGAAGGGCTCGCCACCTCCAATATCAGCTTTCTCCGGCGTCTGGCAGCGCCGCGGCCTCGACGAGGTAATCGGAGTCGGCAATTCGCTGCCACTTTTCGCACGCGAGCTCCATCGCGCGACAGTCCCCTTCCTCGCCCAGAGTAGTCGCGAAGAGTCCGTGGACGGGGCCTTGCTTGCACCCGAAAGGGCGCCCCCGCCAGCGCCCATATCCCGATAAACGTGAATGGCGATCTCGCGATTGCGTGCGGGGTCCTGGCTGGGCTCTCTCTGGCCGCTAGTCCTTCGCCGCTCCACGGCGCGTCCGAGCGGCGCGCGCGCGGGTGCCCCCCCCCGCCCCGCTCCCCATGATCCGCAAGCCTGGCAGCCGCTCCCGTTTGGAGCGAGGTCACCGTCGATGGGGCCGCGGCTGCGCGGCCTGGCCCCCTTGAGCTGCCCAGAGAAGGCGCTGCGCCGCATTCTCTGAAAACTCGGCGCTCCGAACAGGCTGAGCAACATCAGGGCCAGGGCCCGGGTCCACCGGCGCAGCGTCCGCCCTGCCGAGGCCCCCTCCTTCGCTGGCTCCGCTGGGGCCGCAAGGGCGGCGCCCTTACTGCTGGCAGTGCCTGCCTAGCTCGACTGGCTTTGCTCCTGCTTGGTGCCGAGCCGCTTCTGCTTGGCGTTGGCCTCCGTTGCTGGCCGTTTTCCCGAAGAGCTCCTTGACCTTCCCCTGGAACTCCGCCGGGGGTCTCGCCTGGAGGTCGTCGGGCGATTTCTGGTCGGTCGGCAACCTCCAATCCCTCAGTCGAGAAGGCCGAGCCCGCCTCGAAGATTACTTCCTCGTCGCCCGACAGTTCCGCCAGGCTGCGCGCAGCTCATGGCTCATGTGAACACCGCCGAAGTCACAACACTCCCACCCCGCGCGCCCATGCACAAGCATGAAGCGCCTCCTCGAACTCAACCTGAACCACAGCACACCACACCGTCTCCATCGAAGCTCTCCTGCGGTCGCTATATCAGCGAAGGCCCTTGCGTTCACTCTCTGCCGCCTCTCCAATTCCAACTTGGTCCTTTTTTCCGCTGCCTCCGACCGATTATATGCCTTGCGTGGCGGCTCGTACTTGGGCGCCGGGTCCAGTTTGATGGCGGCCAAGGTCTGGGCGACGTGCGGCGCCGCATTTTGACGAACTTGGAACAGTTCTTCAGGAGTCAGCTCGAGAAAATGCGCGAGCGCGGCGGGCCGTGGGCAACCCCTTCCGAGAGGACAGGCACGTTTCCTCCTCCGCTGCCAGCTAGGGCCGTGTTTTCCATGTTCCTTGAACTGACGGTGTCCTTCAGGGCCGCGGTAAGTAACTCCAGCGTTTACCTGCACTGGAAACAACTCCCACGACTTGACTGTTCCAGCTCCGCTTGGATCCGCAACCACCGCATTTGGCGTTTCCATATCCCTTTACCATGAGGCCTCACACTGCGTGGTGCCGAAGGATCACGACAAAGTGGCCATGCGTGCGGGCGGACCATGCGTGACCTCAGCCTGGGACGGACCAAACGAAAACGAAAGCAGCCGCGCATCAGCGGTATCCCTGCACTGCCGCGGACCCCCCATGAATTGAGCCGGGACTTAACAGACGGAATCAGGTAGAAACTAAACGATTCTTCCGCCAGAAACGCTTGCCGCAGAGCGATTGGGAAGCTGATGCCTTTGCGGTCGCACGTCGGGGTAAATTTTCCAGCCGCCCCGGGCAGGCGTCCCCGACGGCGGAGAAAACACGTTTTAAACAAATCTTCGTCGGCTAGAATGGCTGCGGAGGAGGAACAGGAGGGCGGGGGGGCACTGGTGACGGCGTCCTGGAGCGACCCCCCCCCCGCCCCAGCGTTGCCCCTGAGCACCTCAAGCGCGAGGGCCCGAGCACCACCGAGCGCGCCAGCCCCCCGACGAGCGCTCCGCCGGACGAGGCGCCGAAAGCGTAGAGGGGCAGCGCGGTGGGGAGCCCCTCGGCCTCTTGGAGGGGGGGTGCTCGGAGCGCACAAGGACGAGGGGAAAAACAGCACGGGCGCAAACTGTCCAGGGTCCGCGCGGATTTCTCGGATCGGCGCTGGACCCCCGTCCGTGGCGCGTGGAGCGTGCCAGGGGCGGCGTCGGAGGCGCCGCCAAGGGGACCCAACGCAGATCCAAGAAATCTGCGCGGACTGTTGAAAGTTGATGTTAATTATTGTTATGTTTCTTCGTCTTCGAGTGCAGTCATCGTGATACCATACGGAACGCTGAATCAGGAAGCCCGCAAAAGACGTACGCGCCCAACCACGTACATGAACACGGCCCCCCAATCAGCGAGACCATCCTCGCGATGCGACCGCTCGCGCAAAGCGTGCACTCTCGAAACCGAAGTGGATTGATGTACATGTGCAGTAGGAACTCAACCACAAGAAAACTTCCACAATAAACCTAACCCTGACACACCAGGATGTCCCTTGGCTTTTGGTGTGGGACCGTCGCGCTTCCCATATCAAAACCATCGAAACCCAAAAGAAACCCAGGGCACCCTGGAGGCAAGCAGTATGCTGCTTGGCATGGGTTCCCACACGTGCACCACGTCGCGTGGTCTGCCCAGGAGCTCTTTGCCCGCACCCCCCCTCCCCCTCGGCGTAACCATGTCTCGACGAGCAGATTCCTGCTACTTTCTGCATCTGGGGGCCCGCGCCGGGTCCTGAGGGTGTCAGTTGGCGGCGCGCTAAAAGGGGGAAGCGGGAGGGGGGAAGGCTTCTACGTAACAAGGATGCCGTTTCTTATCAGGCGCCGGCCTCACATCCGCAGAAAAGGCCCGCGCCTTCCAAAAAGCAGGGGTGTTTCTAAGAAGCCTTCCCCCCTCCCGACAGCCCCGTGTGCGCGTGGCCAAGTCAGCGCCAAAGCTCGGGATGAAATGCCGGTCACGGGGGAGAGGGGCCCAGAACTCGGGAGGGCCACGCTGTGCAACGCCAGGACGTCGGAGTTCTGGGACGTCGTCGGGTCGGCCACGGAGCTCGGTGCGCAGACACCACGGCTTCCCCGCCTCTGGGGCGCCGGGGCGTCTGCGCACCGAGCCCCTCGGCTCCCCGGCCGGCCAAGCGGCGTGGCGCATGCAGAGGGGAGTCCCTCCGAGCCTCGTAGACGTGGGCGACGGCGGCCTCGACGCGGGCGAAGTCCTCCTGTCGGAGAAGGGCGGCCTGTGGAAGCAACGGCGGCCCTCCCAACACCGCCAGAGGCACGAAGATATAGGGACCACGGGAACTCTGCAGAGCGGACTTTCTCCTTCAACTTCGGTGGCAACTCATGGGAGCCTCCCAAGCCATCTTGTCGGCGCTCATCGACGCTAGATCGACGCTAGATCGGCGCTATCTCATCGGCTCCCAGGCGCCTATCGACGCTAATCGACGCTAGATGACGCTAAAGACAGATTTCAGAAGGTACGCCAGGCTTCCATGATTTACCAGCGAACTCAACAAATGCAAGCCGCGATATTCCAGCATCTGGAGGCCAATTCTGGGCCCGAACAAGTAGGGTTAGGTCGGGCATGTCCTCCTTTGTGGACGAAAACGAACAAAATATACGCATGCATAATCAAGAATAAATGACAAATCGTACCCAGACTATGCTTTGGCTATTTTGAGTTTTACTCCTGTAGGGGTCATGCCCGACTTAAACATAAGCCCTCAGGACGGAAAGGCGGTCCAGGGAAAGGGCCGAGAGGTCTGCTGCTCCCATCGTACTTACTGACCACATCCCCCAAAATGATTTCGAGCACCTAGGAAGATATCGCGACAAAGCCGAACGATTATCGCCTCCCAGGGCCACGTGAAACCCTCCAATTTCGGTGCTTACCTGGTGCTCGAAATTCTTTCTGGTAGTCAAGGCCAAACATCGGGGGCGCGCAAACATGGATCGGGGGAGGTGCCCTCCCCCAAATGCGGCCGGTGCCGCCTCGTTCGGGGGCGGAAATCCGCGACTTCCCATGGAAACGGGACCCGTCGCTACTCCGCGCCCCCTTTGATCCATGTTTGCGATCGCCTGAACACAGGGCTGGAGCGTCACAGGCCGAGAGGTCCGGGCCCCGAGGCTCGAAGACACGCCAAGTTGTCGGTGGTTTGGGCTCTGGGCGCTTCTCGTCCAGGATTAGGTCGGGCGTGTCCCCATACAGGCGGATTTTGGAAGAACAAATCAAAAATAAAGCAATTCAAAAATCTCAAGAATAGTCAAAACATAGTCCCTGGACTATGTCTGGACTATTTCTGAATATTCCTCCTGTAGAGGGACAGGCCAAATTTCAGTCCGAAAGGCTTCTACGTCGCCGCGGCTGGGGCCCGTCAAGGAGCGGGTCCGGAGGGGCCCTTGGATGGACTTTGACGGGGTCTTCTTGGATCACCGTGGTGGTTGCTAGCTCCGCTGGGACGTTGGGGTAGGTCCACCGCAAGTGGATGCAAAGATTTGTCAGACCTGGCCCAACCTGGCCTATATAGATGGGTTCTACGTGCCCTGCGTGGCTTGGGTCGGGTGGCTACCTCTACTGCACGGAGACTTATCCCCCTAAGCCACACAGGACACTTCTTACCCACTTACAAGCTCGAGCAAGCCAGAAATAATTCACCCTAACATCCTCGCACAACCCCCGTATGCACTTAGCGACCACCGCGGTAATGCAAGTGGACCGGGCGGGAAGGCCGAAAGCTGTCTCAACCGGCCCTCCTGCGATTTGGCTGAGCGCAAAGGGGGGCAAGTGGAGGGGGAAGGCTTCTAAGAAGCAGCCTCCGTCAACGAAGCCTCCTCCCGTCCCACTCTGGCCAGACTAGGACAGAAGAACATCCTTCAAACACACGAGAACCTCCGTGAGAAAATGCGGAGCACTCCCCCCCCCCAGGGTGCACAAGAACGTTCAACAAGCACAAAGAACACTTAGGCACTTCACCGAACCAACCTCTTATACTCCGGTCCGACCGTACCCCCTTTTCCGCCCGTCGATCCATCCTGGACCCAGCAGCCGGACATCCGGTCCACGCTCGTCACCGCCATGGCCACGAAGCCGCGGGCGAGCGCGGCGCGCAGGATGCGCACCTCTACACACGGGGGCCGCGGGCCCAGCTGGACCGGGCGGGCCGACGCAGCGCTTGCGGGGGACCCTCGAGGTCGAGGACCAGGATCGAGAATCCCATGCATGACCCAGGATCGAGGATCGAAGATCAAGGACCCAAGACGGATCCAGGATCGAGCATGCCATAGATGATCCAGGGTCCAGGGCCCCCTCCTGCCCTGTCGTGCTCATGCTTCTGAACCCCCCCGGCCTCCCCACCGATGGGCGCAACCCGTCCCCCCCTCCCGTGGGTGTGGCGCGGTGCTGTGGGGCGCCAGGGAGCCGAAGGGGTGCACGTTCCCAGCGCACGGGGCCCTGGTCCCCCGCGCGCCGAGCCCCGAGAAGCCCGCCCGAGGCCGCGCGGCGCAGTGGCCCGGCCGCCCGCCAGCCGCATGGAAGGTCCGAGTGCGCGCGAGAGTTCGCCCGGCCACGCCGCGACCCGCTGCGCCATGAGGTTTGACGCGCGGTGCCCGAGCACGCGCGGCCTATAGCAACGCGTGGCTCAGAGAGCCTGGCCGCGCGCTACCTCTCGGCCGCAGCGCCCCCCCCGTGAGGCGCGGCGGGCGCCCGCCGCCGCGGCGCTGCGTTTCCGACGCGGCCGCGCGCGTCCCCTCCGAACCGCGACGAAGGCTTCTGGCGCGGGCGCGCGCCGCCGTCGCGGCGCGAACGTCCTAGCAAGGAGGCGCGCGGCGCGCGTCGCAACGGGCGGCGCGGCGCCTCCCGTGCGATCGCGGGCTGCGTCGATCTGGCGCCGCGTCTCTGGCGCGACGGCGCGCGACCCCCCTGCGGCGCGGCGCCCCCCTCGCGCGGTCGCTCCAGCGCCGCGTTCCTGCAGCGGGCGCGAGACGCACCCGCGACCTCGCACAACGCGCGAGGCGAAATTGCGCATCTAAAAGACCGAAGCGCGCCGCTGCCAGCGCGGGCCCGCGAATTGTCGCTGCGACGCAGGAGGCCCCCGCTCCATTCACGCGTTCGCGCTAGCGCCCCATCGACACCCCCAGCGCAGGCGCGCGCGTGGACGCGCGGGCGCGATTCTAAGTGACTCCCCGCGCGCGCCCCCTCCGCCGGATGCCGCGTCGAATGACTCCGCTTGAGCAGCCGCTGGGGTATTCTAGAATTTCCATCACGAACCGATGCGAAGCCCCACAATGAAGCACTCACACATAAAGAGCCCAGTCGCACCGCGCGCTCGGTTGGGCCTGGGACATCTCCGGGCCGCGGGAAACGCTGGGCGCATGTATATCATGATCGCAACAGTCGCGCAGAAGACAAACATATGGCGCCAAGAAAACGGCGGCCGCTGCTTCTACAGAACTTGACTATTCTGTGGCAGACTTCCGCAACATCATCGCGATATCCTCCTCCATCCTGATCCCCCGTCGTCATCATCCGCTTTCTCGGCCGCCTCGCATCCCCCCATCCATCCATCCAGACTTCCCTGGGGGGTCAGACGGACAACGGGCGGACCATGGCAGAACGGCGCGCGCGTCAAGTCGCGCCTAGAGCAACGCGCACGCGCGCACAGTAGGGAGTTGCATTCTCGAGCGTTGCCAGCATCAACGCAATGGCGCTGTCTTGAATCAACATGGCTGCTGGTGCAAACCAGCTGCGTAAACCCTGCGCTGATCTTCGAAAAGACATCCTGTCGGGCAGCGTGTCCTCGTTCACGGAAACCTAAGCCTTCACACTTCTGCAATCTCTCCGTGAGGCCTGGGCCCGCACCCCCTGCCTGAGTCGAATCGACAGGCCTGAAACCGGCAGGCTGATAGGCCTCCGTGGAGAAAGCGGAATCGAAGTCGGAATCCGAGGTCGAATCGAATCGGAATCGGAAACCGTCGAAATCGAATCGAATCGGAGTCGTCGAAACGAACCCTCCTCCTCCTCCTCCTCCCTCCTCCTCCTCCTCCTCCTCCTGCTCCTCGAAAAGGGGGTGTTGTACCCCCCACCCCCGAAGACGCCCGGCGGCGGAGCCCCGCGACGCCCGGCCCTGGGAGCGGCGCGCCTCCTCCGGCAGGCCGAGGCAGCCCTCGCAGCCGGGCCCCGCGGGCCAGAAGTCCGTGCCCGCGTGGCGGCAGCCGTGCGCCAGGAGGAAGACGGCGCGCGGCGCGCCGCCTGCGTGCTTCTCTCGCGTCCGGCGACGCGCAGCAGGGGCCCCAAGCAAAAGGCAGGTCGGGCATGTCCTCCTACCGGCGGATTTTGGACGACGAATATAAAAGAACAATCAAAACATGCACCCAGAATGCCCAAACATAGTCAAAAATCGTCCCCTAACTATTTTTGGGGGTTCAAACCATTTTTCAATATTCCTCCTGTAGAGGGACGTGCCCGACTCAAAGCAAGGGCGAGCGTCCCAGACCACCGACGTCAGGATTTTACCAGAACGCGCCCTCCAGAAGCCCAAACCGATTCCCCGGGACCGTCATTTCATCCGGAATTGTTTCTTGACGCTCCCGAGGCCGGGCAGGGGCCCCCAGAGGCCGAGAACGGCGAAAAACCTCCCGTCGTGTTTTTTTTCGTGACTCGACGGGGTCGGGGCTTGGTGCGCGACTATCGGGGGCCGCGGCCGAAGTGGAGCGCGCAAGCCGCTGCTGTCGCATCGGGTTGGGCCATCTGTGGACCCCACTGTCCCCGTACCGAAAAGTCCGTCCGACGAAAGGTCATTCTTACGTGCAGCCGATGTGCTTGCTCCGCCGCTGCCTCGGCACCCCCCCGCGCCGGCATGTGCCAGCCTGATCGGGCTCCTCTTCTCTCTCTCTCTCTCTCTCTCTCTCTCTCTCTCTCTCTCCTCGCGCCCCCTCCTCTTTCGCCTCCGTGCCTCGGATCCGCCCCCGGTGCACCCCACCGCTCGCGCTGGCGGGCGCCAGCACACGTTTCGGACCACGCGGCGCCCGCGGACTTCACCAAGTGGCGTTGCCGCCACGCTGCCATGGCCCGCCCGACCACCCTTCGGCGGTGGACAAACCTCCCTTTAGTAAACCTCCCCTTAGTAAAAACGGCCTGGGACCGAAACCGACGGACCTGGACCCGCAAAAATAACGGCCGCGACGCCCTCTCGCGAACCGAAAACGGCCGATTCGCTAATCGACGTGTCAGGGTAGGAGGTCCATCCACCCCCGAACCCTGGTCGCCCACCACGGGGGCCCTCGGCCGCCTCCGAGGCCCCATCGCTGCCTTTCGTGCCCCCCTCTCCGCGGTCTTCGCGCTCCCTCCCTTTTGCTCCTTCCCGCCCTGCGTCCTCCTGCCTCGGGGCCTGCGCCACGCGCGCGTGGCACGCACGGGGAGGTATATAGGCGCTCGAAGGAGGTCACGATCGAAGAGGAAGCGGGCGGGGGTATCGAGGGTTTGGCTTGTATACTCGTTGAGGCCCTGCGATCGAGCAGTCTTGCAGTGACTGCGCTGCTGTTGTTGCGTTCATAGTTCCCCCTCTTCAGGTGCCTACGTTTTCGATTGGAGTGCCCCGCCCAGGGCTTGCACCCTGTTTTTCAATCTGGGGAAACCTTCCGAATCTGCACCCCTGGTCCCCTGGCTGAAAGAAGAGCGGCTCCCGCACGATATGTCGCTCATGTTTTATGCGAAAGTGCGCTCTCGCTCGAGACTTCCGTCGCAAATTACTCAGGAATCGAGCTCTCGTCTGGGACCCCCTTGCACTTTCGTAGGCGCTGTGTTCTCGATGCCCAGAAATCGCGCTCCTCCGCGAGATCTCCCTGCAACTTGCTCGGGACGCGTGCCCTCGCCCAAAATCTGATCCCACAATCTGCGAAATCCGCCTCCGTGCCCTTCCCGCCCGACCCGCCCGCGGAGGCCCGCCCGCCCGACGCGTCCGTGAAGGCCCTCCCGCCCGACCCGCTCTCCGAGGCCCGCCCGCCCGCCTGCCTGGCCCTCCGCCCCCGCCCCCGCCTCGCCGCCCCGCCCGACCCGCCCGCCCGAGGCCCGCCCGCCCGCCCTGCCCGTCCGTGAGGGTCCGCCCGTGGAGGTCCGCCCGCCCGACCCGCCCCATAGGGTCCGCCCGCCCGGCCCGTCCGTTCGGGTCCGCCCCCCCTCGTCCTGCCCGTCGGGGTCTGGCCGCGCGCGCGCCCGGAAACCGGCCCGCCCGCTTCGAGAGCCCGCCTGCCCGGCCCGCCCGCCATGGAGGCCTGCCCGCCCGACCCGCTCCTCAGGGCCAGCCCGCCCGTCAAGGCCCGCTTGCCGAGCTTACCCGTCGGTCGGAAGAAGTAGGTAGAAGCATGAAGTAGGAAGGCGCTGGAAATAGGTTGAGTTTCCGCCCGCCCCCAAGGACGACGGGAAAGGTGAAGCTACTCGATCATTGAAGCAGGAGGGCGCTTAAAATAGATTGACATCTGGGACTCCAAACATACCTGCAGTCAACAGCCGAGGGGCATTGCTCCTCTCTCCTCCCACCCTCTCCTTCCGAATCTCCTTCGCCCTCAATTCTGCGCCCCGCCTCTCGCCCCCTCTCGGTCCTTCTCTCCTCCTTCTTTCCTCGCTCTCGCTCTCTCTCTCTCTCTCTCCCTTTTCCTGCTCCCTCCGCCCCCTCCTGCCTCAAGGGCCGTGCCAACGACACGTGGCAGATCAGGAAGATTTACCCCCAAAGGGGCACTGGGCACGATCGCAGACGAGCAGGGCAGGTATCAAGGGCTTGGGATGCACATGTGTTGAACGTTACGTGAGCGGCGAAGAGCGAACAGCCTGAAACTTATTGTTGTTGTGGGTGAGCTCGCAATCTGAGAATGACTACTGTTGCTCCTCCTCTGAAAAGCACACTCTGTCTGTCCATTGAAACCCCACCCACGTTTTCTATCCGGATTCCGGAGATGCAATTGGCAACGCGGGCTTTCAGGAATTCATCGTTGCTGATGCTCTAAACGCGTTCAAAATTTTAGCGCACGGCGAGAACAACACGGAAGTCTACGCCACAATGCGCGATTGCCAACGGTAACTCCACTCATTGGGGTCAAGCAAACGGAATTTGCTGGGGCTCGCACACGGTTCTTGTGGGGCAGGGGCTTCCTGCTCAGTCTGCGTCCCAGGCCACCCAGACTACAACAACAGCAGCTCCCGTCTGAGACTTCCTCCCAGTTTGTTCAAGGATCGCGCTCGCACCCGAGACGTCCTCACAGTGCACTCAAGAGTCGCGCTCTCGCATCGTCCTCGCGACGTGTTCAGCGCTGCGCCCTCGACGTCCAAGAATCGCGCACTCTCAGAGGATTTCCTGACATCTGATTGAGGAACTGTGTTCTCGCCAAAAGCTTTTCCCAACCTGCGGAACTCCCTTCAATGCCCCACCCACCCGACCTTCCCGCTGGGGCCCGCGCGTCCCGCCCGCCTGTTGAGGTCCGCACGTTCGCCGGTTCGGAAGCCCGCCTGCCCACTTTAGTGTCCCGCCTGGCCCGCCCCTACCGGGGGCCGGCAAACGTGGATTAGCGATCCATGGATTTGGCGCGCGGTCGCCAAATCCATGGAATTCGGGGGAAGGTGCCCTCCCCAAACTGCGGCCGGTGCCGCCCCGCTCGGCGGCGGAAATTCTCGATTTCCCATGGAAGCGGAACCCGTCGTTCATCCACGCCCCCTAGATCCATGTTTGCGATCGCCTGACCCCTAGTCCGCCCGCGCGGCCCGCCCGCCAAGGTCCCCTCAGATTTTTACCAGCGAACGCAGCATGATCTAATGCTGAGCTCAAAAATGCTGGATTTCAGAATTCATTGTTAAATCTATTACAATGTTGGGAAAACCGAGTCCAGGTCACACGAGCTGAATTCTGCCCTGATCGGCTAACTAGCTCCACCTGCCGTCGAATTCCTCTAACTCTCGCCGGCCCGACCCGCCCGTCAAAGCCGGCCCGCCCGCCTTGCTCCGTCGGGGTCCACCCCTCCGACTGCCTGGAAGCCTGCTGGCTCGCTTTCGTGCCCACACCCCGTCCGACCCGCCCACTAGGGTCCGCCCGCCCGACTCGCCCGTCGGGCCCGCTTGCCCGGCCCGCCCGTCGGGGTCCGCTGGCTGATCACGTGTTTCTCATTCCGCCCCCTCCTGCTGAATCCTTTTCGTCCTCAGCGCTTGCATTCCCCTCCCCTCTCGTCTCCTGGCTCACTTCTGGACCGTTCTCTGTCCCTGCCTCCCTCCTCTTCTCATGTACGTGGCGGGCAGAGAAGACATGACCCCACAGGGGGTACAATCGAAGACGAATAATGCGGGCATCAAGGGTTGAAGGGGTATATGTAATATATGTATATATATATATATACAGATGTGTAGATATATTATAGATGTCGAGTGCACTCGAGCAACGAAGAGCGAACAATAACTATTCACACATTTATGAATGTGTTTGTTCTTCGTCATACTCGCCCACGACCGACCCACGACCGGCCTACGACCCGCCTGCGACCTGCCCGCGGCCCACCCTCGAACCACCCGAGAACCAACCGTGTCCCATCCGCGGCACACCCACACTGTGCTTTGTCAAAGAATCGGCGCCTTTGGCGGGCTTCTTCCAATTTTCTTCAGAACGTCGCAGACTAATTACTGACGACCGCTCCGCCCCCCTCACTCTTGTCCGTGACAGCGAGACCTTACGGTATCTAATGCAACGTCGTCGTCCAGCGTCTCCTTCCATTACGCACTACGTCAAAAACTCACGTCCGCACCGAGAGACCGCGCTCTACGTATCCGCAAGTAGCGCTACATTCTGCCCAGGCTCCTGCAATCAGTCGAGATCTTCCCATCAACCTCGTGCAAGCAATCGAGATCTTCTCATCCACCGTCCGCCGCAAATGCGTGCTGGCCATTTGCATCATTGAGCAGGGATCGACCGTCCCAGCATTCCTATAGGCCTACCGCGACATGCTCTTGGAACTCAACAACGCTGTATATAACAAGAACAATGTTCTTAGAACAGAAACCCGATGAGTTGAAACAAAACAATATCAGCCAACCATGTTCTAAGAACATTGCGTGCAGACCACAAAAGGTTCCGCGAGGCAGGGCGCTTCGCCACTGCTTGACATAAACTTCAACTGCCGGAGGTGGCGCGGATTTCTTCGAGCGGCGCTGGTTCCCCCGCCGCTTGCGCTCGTACGTCCTCGGGCTGTGCACTGACAGCCCTTGAGGAGAGCCCGGCTGGCCTCTTAGGTCGGGCATGTCCTCCCACAGGCGAATTTTTGGAAGACAAATGAAGACATACCCCTAATTAAAATGCCCAACAACAGTCGAAACATGCTAAACAAAATGGTGGCCAGTCCTCCTGACTACTTTTGAACAGTCCTGACGTAAAGCTGGCCTCAGCGGGCCCCCCCGAGCAGTCTGGGGCGGTCTCAACCCCGACACCCCCGGGGCGCGCAGCGCCCCGGGGGCGACGGCGGCGGCGCCGAGGAAATGTTTGAAGTGTCCCCGGGTCCCCGGGGTGCTGTCGGGGCCTGCCGAGGCCAGCTGGTGCTCCTCCGGGGGGCCTGTCGGCCAGCTGGGGCTGCAACATGTAATCAAACATAGACAACCATAGTATAAAAATCGTTACCATAATTACTATCTTTTTATTATTTTTTTGAATATTCCTCCTATAGAGGGACAGGCCCGACTCAAGGCTACCTGCGAGGAGGGCTGCCCGTGCACAGCCCGAGCCTTACCAACTGGCGCGCGTGCCAAGCAGGGGCAACGACAGGGGGGACTGGCCTATAGGGGGGGCACAGCGCCGATAGATCAGCGGTAGGCCCCGGATAGCGGATCCGCACGTTCCTGGAAGGGGTGGGGCTATCCGACCCCCCTCGGCGATCAATGGGCGATTGGGGGTCGATGCAGCCCCCCCCCCATGCCTGTCCCCCCCTGTTGTTGCCCCGGAGCCCTCGCAATCGCTCGGACGTCCATTGCCTGTGCATGCTTCGCTTCCGTGACTTTCTCTTCTCGCCAGATGATCCGGAAGGCTCCTCGATGGCCCTCGCCGAGAAAAAGTGCACACGACCGAGGGATGCCAAGCCTGTGCCTAATTATACCCCCCGCGACTATCCCAGACCCCCGACGTCATGATTTTATCATGACGCGACCCCCAAGGGTCCGGACCTACTCCCTGCGGCCAATTTTTCATCCCGAGCCGTTGTTGGACAGTCCCGAGGCGGCTCGGTGAGGGCCCCCGGAGGCCGAAAACAGCGAACAGCCTCCCGTCGCGATCTTTTTTTGCTCAGCAGCGCGAGGGGGTCCGGCACTGCCCCCGGGGCCCCTCCCGCGGCCTCGGCCAAGGGGGGGCCGCCGGGGGCCGCCCGCGGGCCCCCGCGGGGGCGCCCGCGGGGCCCCCCGAGAGGTCGAGGGCGGGCCGCTCCCGGGGGGGGGGCGGCCGCCCCCGTAGACGACCTCCGCCGGGGGCCCCGAGGTCCGGGGCTCCGCGAGGGGCTCGCCGTCGCTCGCGAGGGCCCCTTCCCCGTGCACTTTTTTTTCCGGCGTCGCGCGTGAACTTGTAGGTCGGGCGTGTCCCCCTACGGGCGGCCCCTGGACGAAAAAAGTAGCACATACCCCCAAACATGCTCAACAATGCTCAAACATAGTAGAAAATCGTTCCCTGCACATTTTGTTTTACCATTTTGGAAAATTCCTCCTCACAGGCCCGACTTGGGTCTAGTTTCCACACGATGATCCAAGATGCTCCTCGATGGTCCCCGCAGAGAAAGAGTTGCACGCGTCCGAGCGATGCAGAGGAGAGGGGGCCTCTGCGGGGACAGCGACCACAACCACATCGAGGATACCCTCTGGGAGAGATGTCTGGCGCATGCCCCATAACGGTCGGGACGCCCAAACCAGCTTCGTCCTGGATGTGGTCGCTGTGGCGTCCCAGGACGTCCAGATCGACCACAACCACAACCAGAGTGCTCAAATCGAGGTCGGCGGCTTCGCCCTCCTCGAGGGGCCTTCTAGAATAATCCGTTGGGCTGTGGTTGTGGCTCTGCGTCGCGCACGGAGTTTCAAGGACGAGGGGGCTCAACCCCGACCTTCAAGGAGGACTAAAAAAGATCACCAGCACCTCGATATCTTAATTCCTGTCGCGGTTTGAGAAAGCCCAGATAAGTCTATAGGTCTGGAGGGCTATTTTTCTGGCACTCTGGAAGGTCAGGGAAGCAGGACCCCTTCCTGCCCTTGGGGCCCCGTCTCTCAGGGCCCGGTCTTTGAACCCCCGATTCCTCGTGTCTCTGGAGGCATCCCGGACGGGATCCGAGCAGATGGGGTCGGAGGATCGTGCCGCATCGCCCATGGATCTGCGGCGCTGGCGATGCATCGGCGCCGTCGGCATGGAGCCGCATCGGCGATGAGGGGGTGATGAGGCGCGATCCCTGGACCCCATCTGCTCCGACCCCATCTGGGAGCTCTAGATTCCTGTCCCTGGGGCTAGGTCGGGCGTGTCCTCCTACAGGCGGATTATGGACGAAACATGATCCAGACATCTCTTTCTTGATCTCAGACATAATTTCAAAACCGCCCCAGACTATTTTCGGACTACCGTTGAATACTCCTCCTGTGGAGGGACACGACCGACTCAACCCAGGGGCCCCATCTCTCAGGGCCCCGCCTTTGAGCCCCCGACTCCTCGCGGCTCCGAGGGCCGCCGAGGGTCTCTGGTGGGGTCCCTCCCCGCTCCACTCGAGCCGGGACCGACCGTCCCCTGGCCGTCCCGCACTCCCGCCACGCCCACCGCGAAGTGCTGTGTTGGACCGCGACAGAGTCCAAGAGCGCAAGCGGTAACACGTGGAGTCGATGTGCTAAAACAAGACGGCCTCAGCCAAACATGCTCTCAGAGCATGCCGCGCCAACCACGAACCTTCCAAAAGAAACCTTACAAAGGCACACGGCCCGTACCGCTACTCCCCGGACCTCTCCTGGGGCGTGTTCTGACCAGGACTTCGAGCCGAACCCAACGGTGCCAACGAGGAGGCCCATAAAAGGGGAGAACGAGGGAAAGGTATAAAGGTATGGGTACCGTTTCCTCCGTGGAACTCCTTGGCGGGCCTATCGGAAAACCGGAACGCCTCGCCCTCGGCGGCGCGCGGTGCCTGCTGGCCGCTGCCACAGCACCTCCACCGGCGGGTCCGGCGATCTCCCGTCGGAGGGGGCCGGCCCGTCGCCAGGCGCCGGGGGCGGCAGCGAGGCCAGCCTGGGCGACAGCGGGATGCCGTCCTGGGAAGGGCCGGTCGGGAAGAAGCATCGACGAGAGTCGAGGAGGAGGATCGAGGATCGCGAGGGGTGGGGGGAGGGTATCGAGGCTCGAGGAGGGGGGGGGTGGAGAGCCGAAGAAGAAGAGGCTTGAGGACCGAGGAGGAGAATCGAGGAGGGTCGAGCCGGTGAATGGTGCAAGCCTCCAGCGCATCAGCTTCTAAAGCTCGGCATGGGAGCACTCCCCTGGTCTGGGCCTCGGGGGGCCCTCGCCGGGCCAATGGCCGTCGACAGACTGCGCAGACCAAAGAGCCGCCCCCAGGGAAGAGGAGGTGGGGACTTCCGAAGGCCCCGCATTGGAACAAACAACACATGAACGACGATCAAAAGCGGGTCTTACGCGAGATGACGCAGCGACCTTACGCGGCGGCTTACGCGGACCGCCAGCGCGGCGCGCCACATTGGAGACGAGAGCGCTTACGCGCGAACTTACGCGGGCAGCTTACGCGCCTATGTCGCCGAAGACGACCCCGTTTTTTTCCCGACCATCCTGTGGTGTTGGGTCCTCGTTTTGAAGAGACGGTGGCCCGCGTCTCCTCCTCCTCTCCTCTCCTCTCCTCTCCTCTCCTCTCCTCTCCTCTCCTCTCCTCTCCTCTCCTCTCCTCTCCTCTCCTCTCTCCTCTCCTCTCTCTCCTCTCCTCTCCTCTCCTCTCCTCTCCTCTCTCCTCCTCCTCCTCCTCCTCCTCCTCCTCCTCATCCTCCTCCTCCTCCTCCTCCTCCTCCTCCTCCCTCCTCCTTCCCACCATCATCATCGTCATCAACCATTTCGGCACACCCCTCACACGCTTCGTGGCCCCATAGGGAGCTCCACCGAACGTCCCATGGGTGTGCCCGCATTGCGTCCCGCGCGCCCATTTCGGGCACACCCGTCACACGTTTCGTGGCCCCATAGGGAGCTCCCCGAAGGTCCCAGTGGGTGTGCCCGCATGCGTCCCGCACACCCATTTCGGCACACCTTCACACGTTTCGTGGCCCCATAGGGAGCTTGGCCAGTGGTGTGCCCGCATGTGTCCCGCACGCCCATTTCGGCACACCCCTCACACGCTTCGTGGCCCCATAGGGAGCTCCACCGAAGGCCCCAGTGGGTGTGCCCGCATGCGCCCCGCACACCCATTTCGGCCCACCCTCACACGTTTCGTGGCCCCATAGGAAGCTCCACCGAAGGTCCCAGTGGGTGTGCCCGCGTGCGTCCCGCACATCAATTTCGGTACACACTTCACACGTTTCGTGGCCCCATAGGGAGCCCCACCGAAGGTCCCAGTGGGTGTGCCCGCATGCGTCCCGCACACCCATGTCGGCACACCCCTCACACGTTTCGTGGCTCCATAGGGAGCTCCACCGAACGTCCCAGTGGGTGTGCCCGCATGCGTCCCGCGCACCCATTTCGGTAAACCCTTCACACGCTTCGTGGCCTCACAGGCAGCCCCACCGAAGGTCCCTGTGGGTGTTCCCGCATGCGCCCCGTGCGCCCATTTCGGCACACCCCTCACACGCTTCATGGCCCCATAGGCCCATAGGGAGCCCCACCGATGGTCCCAGGGGGTGTGCCCGCATGCGTCCCGCACAGTCATTCCGGCACACCCCTCACACGCTTCGTGACCCCATAGGAAGCCCCTCCGAAGGCCCCAGTGGGTGTGCCCGCATGCGTCCCGCACACCCATTTTGGCACACCCGTCACAAGTTTCGTGGCCCCATACGGAGCCCCACCGAAGGTCCCAGTGGGTGTGCCCGCATGCGCCCCGCACGCCCATTTCGGCAACCCCTCACACGTTTCGTGGCCCCATAGGGAGCTCCACCGAAGGTCCCAGTGGGTGTGCCCGCATGCGTCCCGCACACCCATGTCGGCACACCCCTCACACGTACGTTTCGTGGCCCCACACGGAGCTCCACGGAAGGTCCCAGCGGGTGTGCCCGCATGCGTCCCGCACACCAATTTCGGCACACCCCTCGCACGTTTCGTGGCCCCGAGTTTATCCGCTAGGCCTGACCTGAGGAGCGGCCCGCCGCAGCCGCGCCTTCTCTCGGTTGTCCAACTGTTTGGCCTCGCGCCGCGGACGCCCTGCGCGCGTCGCTGGGACCCTCTCGGGGCGATCAGCGCGCGTCGCGCGAACTCCGCGCTGCGCTCTGTCCAGCGCCTCGCTCGCCCGTCGTCGCTCCGCCCGGCGGCCAGAGCCATGCGCGCTATCAGTTAGCCAACAAGCAATCTGTGTTCCACGCAGCGCACGAACCGTGCGCGTCACTGTGACCCCTTCGGGGCGACCTGCGCGCGTCGCGAGGGCTCCGCTTTGCGCTGCGCCCGCAGCCTTGGACTTTGGAGTGCGCGGGCAAAGGAAAAGGAAAAAGGAGTGGAGGAAGCGCGCGCGATCCTCGTGTGGGGCGTGCCGACATGGGCGTCGCGGCGCGCGGGCGCTGCCTCGGGGTTCCCAGGGAAGCCCCCTGCAGAGGCTACGCCACACAATTCGGGGCACCTTCATACGGTTCGTGGCCCCATAGGGAGCGCCACCGAAAAATATATTCACAATTGCGGTACTCACAATTGCATATGGCCGGGTCCTTCCCAGGATAGATTTACGTCGCTCACGTCGGATCTCTAGGTGTGGAGTGCAGGACGGGTGGGGGGAATCACAATGGGGCGGGGCGCGGATTTTCTGGCGCAGCCCCACTGCGCAACCAGTGGTAGGCACTGGGTGGGAGAATCGCGCTCTGGCAGGGCGCGAGTTTGCCTGGTGCAGCCTGTGATGCTTGTTCGCAGGGCATGGGAAACTTCGATTCGGGGAAAAATCAGGAGGGGCCGAACAGTCAATGGTCATTCGTGGTCCCTGTGGGCGTGGCAAAAGAGGCGTTCCGTCCGGCGGACTCTGCTTATTGAATATCAACTCCTGAATCATTAATTTGTGTTGGACCCCTCATACTCGCCCGGGCGTTCTCGCCTCGGCACCGGCTGCATTTCCTTTGAAGTTAAGGCTCACGCCCCAGCGTTTCGGGTTACCGCCCAAACCCGCCCCGCACCAACAACAATCACTTTAAGACTGTTCGCTCTGACCCGCTCGCGTGCCATTCAACACGTGTATCCCACACCACCGATACCAGCCCTCATCGTCTTCGATCGTACACCCCGCGTGTAATTGGCGCAGCCCCTAAAACAGGGAAGAGAGGACGGACAGAATAGGGAGGGAAAAGGATGGAGCACGGGAGCAGCAGGAGGGAGCTAGGAGCAAACAGCGCGTGGCAGAAACAGACGGGTTGATCGGGCTGGTACATCCTTACGGGCGGGTCGGGAAGGCGGGCCCAAACGGCCAGGTCGAGCAGGCGGGTGGCTGAAACGTGAGTGCTCCTTGAACCGCGAGGAGATCTGGAGCGTCAGCACGATTCCCAAGTGAATCGCGGGAAAAAACATAGCGAGAGCGCGACTCCTGAGCGTCGAGGACGCGGCGTTTCAATTAATTGCTAGGAATTTCCAAGCGAAAGCGCGAATCCTGCATACATTGCAAGGACGTCTCGCGCCAGAGCGTGATTTCCCTATAAATCGTGATGATGTATTAGGCGGAAGCCGTTGTTGTAGTTCGGAGCACAACGACGCAGTTTGATGACCCCTATTTACACTGCCAAAAAATGATGCGAACCCTGAGAGGACCATTTCAATTGAAGAACACAATGGTCACCAGGCAGGAGGGCGTTAACAATAAGTATTTCGTAGAAATGAGAGGCGAATAATGTACTGAGACCAGTCCTGATAGCCATTAAAAGGGCAGAGGGGGGATGGCCAGGAGGGGTAGGAAGTGGGCTAGGAACGCTTGAGGGTCGAAAATTGTCCCTGACACCAGTCTACATGTCGAAGCCCGTCGCCAGCTTCTTCGTCTGGCGGCCATGCAACAGTACGGCCGGTCGGTGTGCGCCACAGCCTGTGGGTTCGTGCGGCATCGCCGTTGAGAGAACTAGCTGCTGGCTCATGGCCTCACTGATTTCCTCATCGCGCGGCAGGTCTGCTCCCTCATAGCGACTGCGCATGACCTCCCCGACGCCCGCGTCAGCAGCGACCGCGGCTGCGTGCAGCTGGGTGACGTGCGTTTCTTCGCGGTCCAGGCTTCGCCGTCGAGGCCCCGCGCATCTATGTGAGCACGGCGCTTCTGGGCATGCGGTGGAGGAGAAGGATGATACACAGGAGGAAGGAGAAAGAGGAGGCGGAGCTGCCGACGCGCCGACAGCCCAGGCGCTGGTGGGGCTCGTGGGAAACCGTTTTTTTTTGTGAGCGCCTTCTCGGAAACCATCGAGATCGGATCGAATCGAATCGGAGGGGTCGAACTGAGCCCTGGTCCTGGGGCTCCCCACAAGACGTTATCTGGGGGCCCCCTGGGCTCTCAGGGCCCTCCTCGCCGGGCCTCGCGCGCCGTCTCTTCGCAACCTGGCGGCTCTGTGGGGACCCTCTCGGGTCGCCTCGGCGCTCGCTCCTGGGCCCCGCCAGCGCTCGGACGCCCACCCCCCGTGCACGCTTCGGCCTCGTGCGTGCTCCTCGGGCCCGAGGAGACGGGCACACCTCCGAGCGATGCAGAGAGGCAGCCGTGGGGCTTTCTGGGGCCCTTCGGAGGCTCTCTCTCCGGCGCCGTCGCCGGGTCCTCCCGCGGGGGGGGGCTCTGGAGCCCTTCGGGGCCTCTCTTCGGGCGTCGCGAGGCCATCCCGGGGCCTCCCGAAGCCTCTGCCCGCGGCCGTCCTGAGCCCTTCTGGGCCATCCTGGCGGCCCCCGGACGCCCTCTTGTCGGAGAGACGCAAGACTCGGGTACGGGGACTCTGGTTGGCCTGACAGGGTCACCAATCAAAATGGCGGGATCCAATCTTCAATTTGACGCGGGCTCCCACTGCGAACATCCATGAACACTGGACCGTCAAAATCCAGGTCGCGCTCGTCAAAAAGCGTCGGCAGTGCTCGAGTCTTACGTCCCCCCGCTCTTGACCCATACTTGCAACC